CCTCATCATACTCACCTTTTGTCCAAGCTTAGGGGAAGCACTCAATGAATATTTACCTAGTAAATGGGGGGATCTACCTTCTCATCACCAAAATCAGTCTTCGACACAGTGAGCAGCATGGCTGGAGCTGCCTCCACTTGCACCCTCAGCTTGTGGCCTGCTGGATGAACTAAAATCCCCGACTCAGAGCTTTCTTTGAGATTAAAAGACATGTTCCCTTCCAGCCCTGGGAAAGTTCACCTGCCACCTTGGAAGAATAACTAGAAATAGAAGGAGGGGCCTTGCCTGCCATTCATTCCTCACCCATTCATTTTCACAGCAGTTCAGGGTTCAATAAAAGTCTATCATCTAACTTATTGCTTAGGGTCTGTTGTCATTACAGAGAACTAATGGTGAGATCCCACAAATGTAAATCACAAAGAAAAGGGAAGTGTGAATTGAATGTATTTCTGTGAACTCTAAACATTTCTTGTTCCAACTCCTCCAATGAAAGACAACACAAACTGCCCTTCATACAAGGCTTTCTAGCTCCAAAAACCACAGTGGTGGTTTGAATGAGAATGGTTCCTATTGGCTCATCTATTTGAATACTGGTCTCCAGCTGGTGGAATGCTTGAAAAGGATTAGGAGCTGTGGCCTTGTTGGAGTCACTAGGGGTAGACTTTTAGGTTTCCAAAAACATTGCATTCCCAGTGTCTCTCTTATGCCTCATGCTTGTAGATCAAGATGTAAGCACTTAGCTATTGCTACCATGCTGTGCCTGCCTGCTTGCTGCCATGCTTCCTGCCTTGCTGATCATGAACTTTATCTCTCTGAAACTGTAAGTCCCCAATCAACTCTTTCTTCTACAAGTTGCCTTAGTCATGATGACTTAGATGGCAACAGAAAAGTAACTAAGACAGCCACTCATTTTCACAACCTCCTGACAGGAGATTAATGTGGTTTTTGACTGGTCACTACTTAAATCACTGTCATGAGGTTAGAAGAGTTTAGTCATTGACAAAAGTCTCACCATTACCCCAACACCTTTTCAGAAGGGCTCTACTCTACCCTGAGGGGGGATGACCATATATATATATGTTTCTCTTATTGGTTGATGAATAAAACACGGATTGGCCAGACAGGAAGATAGGCAGGACTAGGAAATAAGGAGAATTCTGGGAAACGGAGGAGAGGAAGACTGTGAAATGGACACCATGAGGAGACCGGGAGGATAGGACACGACACGTGTTCTCTGGTAAGACAAGGCCATGTAGATATACATAGATTAGTAGATATGGGTTAATGATTAAGACAGAGCTAGCCAATAAGAAACCCAAGACATCGGCCAACAGTTAAATAATTAATATAAGTCTTTGTGTGCTTCCTTGGGGCTGAGAAGGGCGGCGGGACCTAATGGGACAAGAACTTTCATCAACACTACCCCCTTACCTTAGGTGAAAAATACATGAATACAATCTGTGTGTTACACTTTGAATGCGAAATGTCTTCCATGAGTTCACCTGTTTAAACCTTTAAGCCCCAGTGGTGGTGCTCTTTTAGAGCCGGTCGAGCCTGTCAGACATGGGACCTACCTGGCAAACAAAGGGATGAAGAGACCAGTAATTGAAGGTTATATCACAGCCTCATTTCTGGCCCAAGAGCTCTGCCTCCTGATCTGCTAATAAGTGAGGAAGATGAGACACCTGCTATCAGCACCATGGATGTGAGCTGCTTCCACCGCCAGGCCTTCCCAGCCACGGCAAACCGTACTTTCTCAAGCCGTGAGCCAAAAATAGTCTTTCTTCCAGTAACTGCTTCTTGTCCAGTATTTGCTCACAGGAATAAGAATAGTATGGAATACACTGTTGCTCCCTTCCCATCACATGACCTTGGGTCACTCACCTGTATTTATAGTCTCTGAAGCACATCTGATGGGCTTTGAGCTTAGAAATGAGAAGCTTGAGAATTTTGAGGAATATGAAGAAGTTGACCTTAAAGACAAAAAACAGATACAGATAAGTAAGGGGTGGATGCCACATGCTATTGATCTCAAGGTCACCCTGGGCATGGCCATCAGCTCCTCATCCATGTGAACCAGGAGCAAGTTGGTAGTTTGCTGATCACACAGGAAGTGTCTGTGGTAGTCCCCATTGTCCCAAAGACTCTTAGAAGTGAAAGTCTGGGAGGGAGCTTGGAGTATCATTTAGTTTATGTTGCCTCAGAGAGGTCTACCACTCAGCACTCTGAGAAAGACAAACATTGTTGTTAAGTTATACTCATTGAGTACTTACCACCTGTCTTTTGGCTAAGAACTTTCCCACACCGGTTCATTTACTCTTCAAAACAACTCTCTGAAGTTGTTTTGTGTCCCCCATAAAACAATGAAGAAGCACAGCATTTGAGGGGATGAGTACAATACTGAAGCTTGCATAGCTGGCCAGTGACGGGACAGTTGATTATGACCAGAGTTAACAATGCTACCTCCCCTTAAATGGAACAGTGCTCTTTTTTCACAGTAGAGAACTGCAGGGTAAAGGTTAGAGCACACTTCTAGGTTTGAAAATCTACCAAAACCTACCAATTCCTAAACTCAAAAATCCATCAGTCCCTGAGCCTGCTCTAGCTCAGGACTTGAAATCTCACTAATTCTCACCCTGGAAAACTCCCCCCCCCCAAGAAACCCTGTATAAGCCTGTCTCCTGTTCAGTTCCCTGCTGCTTCTCTTTCTATCAGAGGCAGCCACCCTCTTGTGCTTGTATGAGATTTGTGTGGTGTGGCTTTATGGTATTCCTTGGTGTTTGACTGCCAGGATACCTCTCCCTTCAGAGCTGTAACACTTCCATGAGGGAGGCCTGTCCCTTCAGAGACGTTCCACTTACAGGAACTACAGTCCTCTTGGTGTCTAGCTTGAGATGTGCAGTGGGGCTCACTGGAGAGTGTATGCCTTCCACTCCCTAGGGTATTTCCCATAACCATCACAGACTGAGAAAATCTAGACCTTCACTACCAGCTTTGACAGAAACTATAAAATATTTCTGACATTCCTTCTACTTCTTTTAAAAAGGAGAACCTGGTCTTCTCCCCCTATTCTCACCCTGTGTGCTCATTAGATTTAATTGCTTACAGCTAATGAAAAGAACATGTTAGAAGCAATATCACGATTTCTTAGTACAGAGTCTCTCCTTCTCCCTCTCCTATCCTCTTCTATCCTCTCCTCCCCTCTCCCATCCCTCTTTTCCTCTTCCCTCACCTCTGTCTGGATTGCTCAGTCTATCCAGGGAAGCCAACCACCACACTGTGAGAAGAGTCACACAAGGGAGAATCAAGTCTCCCTACCAATAGCCCACAGTGCTCCACAAACATGTGTGTGAGCCTTGGGAGATGATCCGCCCCCAGGCCCTGTCTCATTTCTGGCTGATATTTTAACTCAGGAGAAATCACAAGTCTGCTGGGCTGTAGAAGTGGTTGAGTGTAGGCTAAGTGTGAATGTGGATACAGAGAGCAGGGTGTGTGAGGAGTCTGGAGAGGCAGGGCCAACCAAAATGAGGCTTTTTCATGGTCATACTGATGGCCCTGGGTTTCTTATGAAGGTAATGGAGAACCAGGGATACATTTCAAGCAGGTAAGTGACCTGATCTGATTGAAATTTCTGCTTTTCAGGAAGACCATGTTTAATGGCAGCAAAGGGGAATGATTAAATGAGGGTAAGTCTGGAGGAGGGAGGGGAACTGGGAGGCAGTTCCCAAGTTCCTGGGGAAGATGATGGACAGGCGAACTCAGGCCTGGCATTTCAGTGATATCAAGGAACGGAGCATTTAAAACTAGGTGTGTGTCAAATGACCTTTGTTATTGGTTGGCTGTGAGACCAAAGATGACCTGAGAGTTCACGGTAGCCCTCTATTGTGTGATATTGCCATTCACCCAGAGAGGAACAGAGTGTGGAGGAAGAGCTTTGGTGATGCTGGGAGGACAGTGTGTGTGGAAGCTTCAAACACAA